ATCCAGAGAGCGCGGGCGGGCGAGCGGGCGGCTGGCGCGGGCTTACCTTGCGGGTCTCCGGGCAGGCGGGTGGCGCGCGTCCTGCCCCACTCGCACTACACGCTGCAGTTGGCCCCGCTCTGTTTTTCTGGGACTCGGCGCTGACTTCACCGACACTCCGCGGCCGGCCAATGGGCCGCGGCGGCCGCCCCCTCATTAGCATGCGTCTGGAACCGTCCACTCCGGCAGCGCCCGGGTGGTGGGCGGTGCCAGGGGGCGGTGCCCGGTCCGGCCGTGACAGGAAGGGGCGTGTGCGCCAATGGGAGGCGAAGAAGCGTCCCGCCGCCCCGCCCCGCGGCATTGTGAGCAGAGAGCGCGGGCCTGCGGATCGTCGGCGACTAGGCGCGCGCGGTCTCAGTAACCCTTTCTGTCCTGGCCGGCCACTGGCTGGGCCTCGCGCCCTCTGGTCCTTGAGAAGGCTCGCCCGCGGGGAGCTGGTAAGGAACCTAGGGCATAAAAATAACAGCTAACGTGTCTTGAGTGCATATGTTACTTAACCCCTGTGCCCATTTTGCTCATCTGTAAAATGGTGTAATAGGTTGTAGTGGGGTGTCTGGGTGGTTCAGGCGGTTAAGCGGCTGCCTTCGGCTCAGGTCATGATCCCAGGGTCCTGGGATCCAGTCCAGCTCGGCCTCCCTGTTCCACGGGGAGCCTGCTTCTCCCTCTCCCTCTACCCCTGCTTGTGCTATTGAGAGAGAGGAATGGTATGTCCAGCGGTGGTTAGCTCTGAACCAATCAATCTCTCTCACTCTCTCTCAAGTAAATAAATAAAATCTTTAAAAAAAGAATAGGATGTATTCAAGATTAACATAGTTAACCTATGTAAAGCATTTAGATCAGTGCCTGGCCTTTGTGCTACATTAAGGTTTGCTACTATCATAATTATACTCTGTACCAGCCAGTGGACTTAATGCTTCCTGGATATTTTCTCATTTGATCCCCAGAGCCTTATAAAAAAGGCACTGTCACTAATCCCTATTTTTCAAGTGGGAAAACTGTTGAGGTTTAAGTGGCTTGCTCAAGGTCACACAGAAAACAATGCAACCAGGATTTGAACCCAGGCTCTTGAGATTTCATTCGTGCAACACACATTCAGGGACTCCATGGCAGCCATGTGATGGGCCCCAGGGTTACAGCAAAAAAGTGAGGCTTCCCTTCATGAGGCTTCCATTTTAGTGAGGGAGACAGACAAACAAGTGAAAAAATAAAATCATCTGCAAAGTGAAACAGAGTGAATAGAATAAAACAGGACAATATGCAAGTGAAGAGAAGGGTACTTTGTTAAGTTCAGAGCTAACCACCGCTGGGCATACCATCCTGACCTCCTCCAGTACCCCCTCAGTGTTACAGGAAAGAATCAGAGAGGGGAAGCTGCTTACCCAAGGTCTCAGGGCCAGCAAGCAGCCACGCCTAGCTCCCAACATCCCCAGGACATCCCTGAAGGTACAGCAGTCATCCCTTGGGCTGAACAAAACTGACTTTTGTCAGCTGCCATTGACAAGAATCTTCAGCCAAAGCACGTTCCCAGTTAACAAGCTGTGTGTGGTGCGGTAAAGACAGGCCTTAATGACTGCACGGGCTGATGGGAAACACATCTGCTAAGGTTCTTAGATGTCAAGGAACAGTGACGAGTTTTTGCTGAGCATCGGCTGTCCTCTTCCCTGTAAAGAAAAAAAAAATTTAGAACGCTCATAGCCGCCTGGGAGCTTCCTGTACAACTGAGGAGGCGAGGGCCACCAGGAACTCAGCCTAGGGAGCTCCCAGCCCATGTCTCCTTCCACTTTCACCTTATCCTGCGGCTTTGCAAAGAAGACTAGATTAGGAATCAGGCTTCCCAGGCTCTACTATTAGCTTACTCCCTGATCTAGGCAAGACCGTTCCTTCTGCGCCTGTAAAGTAATAAAATGACTTTTAATCAAGCATATCTAGTCTGCTAGGCACTATTCTGTACTGAGAGCTTCACATGCATTAACTCACACCACACAACCACCCCAGGAGGGAGTCCTATTGTTATCCTGAGGTTGTCGACAGAGGAGGAAAATAACGCGGCAAGAAACCAGATAAGTTGCCTACCTCACAAATTCAGGGCAACACCATTCAGAATAAAAAAAAAATTAAAAACAATTCAAATGTCCAATTTTAATTGAACAAGAAAACCTATCCAGTACAACCATATGACAGAATACCATACGGCCACGAAAAAAGGAAAAGTACAGTGATACTGACACATGAAAATGTCCATAATACATTATCAAATAGAAAAGTAGATTGAGGGGTGCCTGGGTGGCTGAGTCGATTAAGCATCTGCCTTTGGCTCAGGTCATGATCCCAGGGTCCTGGGATGGAACACCATGTCTGACTCCCTGCTCAGCCCTCTGCCCCTCCCTCCCCACTCATGCTCGCGCTCTCTCTCTCTCTCTCAAA